CAGATACCTCAGCATGACATGGACAAAGACAAACACGATCAGCCACCTCCAGTGTCCGGCAACAGGGGAGAGAGGGTTAAGGGTTAAGGACTTACAGGATTAAGGGCTTAGGGTTCGGGGCTCAGGGTTTAGGGGATCAAAGGGTTTTGAGGGCATCACGGATAGGACAATACACGGTGAAACTGCGGTGGGAGTACTAACACCACATTCAGCACTCAACCACAAAAGACAAAAGACACAGGCATGAGGGGGTAACTTAAGTGTAACTTGGGGATTTCAGGAAACACACTCACAAGTTACACCCCTATACTGACACACACATACACACATACACACATACACACATACACACACTGCTCATATCCACTGCAACTCACAATCCGCAACTGACAAATCTCCACTATACAAAAGCACGCACAATCCTTTTTTTTTTTTTTTTTTTTAAACCAAAGCTCCATCTATTGGTGGGGAGCAAACACCTGCTGGAAACCGGGTCCAGCGTCCCATAGATACAACCATATCCTCACAAATTGGCACGAACTGGGAACCGGGCTCAGCATCCCATAACGAGTACATTCAGAAAACACGTCAGTGAAAATGAGGCTAGGAACCTACTAGAAAAATCCAATTGGCCGAAGAATGGAAATTGAAAATTGAGATACCGGGGCCATCACCCGGCTTTGACTCGGAGAGTTAAAGCTACTTCAGACATGTCTATGACAACTTCATGATTCAGAAACGACTCAGAAGAACCCCCATCAATCCATTTTTCCTCCCTCCGGCAAGACTGACTGCAGCGGAGCCACCATCTCTGCTGCTGTTATGCCATACTCCCATCCGACCAGCTAGCCCCCTCATTGGTAGGACGCGTGATAACCCACCATTTTCTCCCACTCTCCTTATTCTCTTCTTGTGTCATTACCGTTTTTTTACAGGATTAGGCAAAATTCAGAAACCGACTCAGAAACCCCCCCTTCAATCCTCTTTACCTCCCTCCGGCAAGACTTACTGCAGCGGAGCCACCATCTCCACTGCTGCTGTACCGTATTTCCATCCTACAAGCTAACCCCCTCACTAATAGGACGCTTGATATCCAACCATCTACTTATCCCACTCACCCCTTTCTGAGAAGTTCAAGAAGATTTCTCTTCTHTTTTTHAGAAATTACTGCGACAAACTAGACAAGATTCAGAAAAACGACACAGTCCTCTTTACCACACTCCGGCAAGACTTACTGCAGCAAGGCCACCATCCCCGCTGCTGCTATGTCTTATTTCCGTCCTACCAGGTAGCCCCTTCACTAGTAGGATGCATGATATCTTTCTCTCACTCACCTCAAACCCCTTCTTGCAGTACCGGGGCCATTACCCGGCTTTGGCTGGAACCCTCTGAGAGAACTTACAGTAATTCGGGAGGTATGGGAATAGACTGCAGAGGTCCTACTAGTGCCCCAAGACCCACGAAATCCCTAACAAAACCTTCCAAAGTTCTCCAACACTGTCTTACTCCCTGCTGAGCTCTTCCAGGCCTCACACCCCCTCATCCTGCTGGGTTACAGGGCAACACAACTCACCCCAGCTCCGGCCAGCGTCGTCCCAGCAGCAACCCTTGATTGTCCCATGGATTGCCCACCCCAAAGCACCCCCAGATCTCTCTATCAGGCCTCATGCTCCTGCATCAGCAGGTTACAGGGCAGCACCCCAGCACCGGCCAGCGTCGTTCTGGTATCGAACAGCCACAGGTCCCCGAGTATAACAGCCTCAAAACTACCTAAAAAAGAGATTATCAGGAATCCCCAGAATCCAGAAGACATTTTTAGGACCAAACAGCCATCCACATACGGCCCACCCCCCTTTTTTAGGAACAGATTAAGTTCTAAGAAATTCTTAGAATTAAGCAACTGCCTATGACCGTATTCAGAAAATATTCAGAAAGCAAAAGAAAAGGGATACGAGGGCAAACGATCAGGAAAGACTAGGACCTGCTACGCAAAAGAAGGGGAGGTGGAGTCCGTCAGTCCTCGTACAAAAATGCGGCAGATCTCAAACCCCCTCGTGCTAGGGTGACAGGGCGCCACCGCTACCCCAGAACCGATCCACCTTGTTCTCACGGAAAGAAGCGTCTTCCACCCTCGACTACTCCTCAAAAGTCATAAAGCCCCACAGTTACAGGGGAACCCCCCCGGCAACGACTTCGTTGAACCCACTGGTTATGCCACACAAAGCACGCACAATCCATTTCACACAAACGCACGCAGCACGCCTCTCCAAGGCTGTAACATGCATAACAGACAGCATGACATATCACAGGCATGACCTCTAACCTCTAACATGGAAGCACAGTTTATACTCTAAGACTTACACCTTTAGACATTCGCACTAACAGATATACACAGACATAAAGACATAATGTCCTCACAAATCACAACTCACAACTCACAACCCACAAATCTCTAATCTCACTTTACAACTTACAGCATCCATGCCTGCACAAGGCTGTAATATACACAATGTACAAAATGTACGCAATGGACAATAGAAATGGCCCACTGTACACTAACCTACACTCACTTTCATTTACACTTATATAATATGCCTGGGTAAGGTTGTAAGATACACGGAAGGATGGAACCCAGAGCATACCATAGCCTAGCCTAGTCTGTACAAGCATATCGAACACTCATACAGCATGTCTACTTCTCAACATATGTATAGGGACTAAGTAACAAGGTACCTCGAATTTTTCCTTCTGCTTCTGGTTGTCTAGCAATCCCTTCTACTGCTTGTCGAGCAGCAGTACCCTGACCTACTCCAGGTCCAATTGAAGATAAACCTACTGCTAATCCAGCAGCAATTACAGAAGCAGCAGAAATCAAAAAAGGGAAAAAAAAGAAAAGAAAAAGAAGAATACACCTCATCACCTAGGAAGTTTTTCATGCCTGGCCGGGCCTGCATGGCCGGGCACCCGGGCATGACGCCCGGGGTACCCGGGCGTGCAAAAAATAAAATAAAATTCTGCGGTCTCCCAGAGCACACAAATCCGGGCTCGTTTCATTTTTTGAGATTTGGCTGTCAAGGGGGGGAAGGGGGGTATAAATTGTTTTCAAAGGGGCTAAGAGGGGTTAAAGGGGGGTCCTTTAGTGTGATTTTGTCATTTTCTTTTTTATCTCCAATTCGGTGAGGAATTCTGAGGTGACCCTCAGCCAAAAGTTGTCTGTATTTCAATTCTACACAACATATTTGTTTTCTGGAATTTTTTGACATTCATTCTTTTTTTGTTTTTTGCGCTGGGGCTGCCCGGAACACTGCCCGGGGATCATGCCCGGCCGGGCACCCGGGCATGTATCTGGGCACAAGTTGGGTGCCCGGGCGCCCGGAAAAACAACCTAGCTCATCACCAGGATGTTACAGGAGGCTGTCAAATCCAACAGGAGGCACAGTTGCCAATTTCTGATCCTTGATGGGATAGGAACCCGTTATCATCTTTTTTAAGGGGGGTGGGTAATTGTGGAGACACCGGAGACATCTGTCTGGTGGTAGACCCAAGTCATCCCCGGTCTATTAGAGCCTGTAAGGAGGTTTTCCCTTTCCGGATAGAGGAAATGACAACATACAAATCATGGGAAACTATCATTTATGTGCTCATCCGCAAGTATATTAACTCTGACAGTTTTGGCATTCGATCCTCCATCCACACTGACAAGGTGACCAGAAATAGCAATATAGAAGGTGGGTCCATGCTTTCCGAGAGAGATGGTTAACCATTAGTGTGCTTTCTTAAAGATAACAAATAAAGAGAGTAGAGGCTTGGTCTCAAGAACAAGACAGCTACCGTCTTTCCCCGAATAGAACACCCGGTCATTACAGCTGCATTTGGTACAACTTTCAGTCTACTAGGTACAGTAATAATGACTTAGCGTTCAGTTTGGGTGAAGACGGTAGGGTTGGTTTCGGTTTTGGTCTATTAGTGTCACTCAAAATGTTGGTATTCTTAAGTCGGGTAATGGGTAATGCCCCCCCACCCCCCCACCCTGGCACCTCAAACTGTTCTTTGTAACTTCATACGGGACGCTGGGCCCGGTTCTCAGCAAAAAAAAAAAAAAAAAAAAGATGTTCGGCCTCTTGGGGAAAAAAACAAGGAAAGGGAAAGCAAAGAGAGGGCCATGAGGGTTAAGGAAGTGCCCTTTCACCTCGAGCATCTTGCCTACAGTCTTTGAAAACCTTTCCTGAGCCTCCACTTTTGCTAGGTTCTATGATGATGGTTCTAGTGGGGAGCTCCTAGTCGACATGATTTGGAGGGTGCAACAGATTGTGTGACGGACCGGTAACAAAAGGGCTAATTATGATTCTATGAAGGACCTTGAGGCAGCACACTTTGCCAGTTTGGGTCAATCCAGTAGAGGAGGAGGTTTTGGAGTCACTTAACCGGATTTCAACAAAATGAACTTCAAGCCGCAGCTTATCGGATGCCCCGTCTCTTACTGAAAAGGCGCAGGCAGGATTCAAGCTTCTTTTTTTTTTTTTTTTTTTTTTTTTTTTTTTTTTAAAGCAAGGCCCTTCTACAAGGCCTCTATCCTGGTGGTGGTAAGAGAACCACCGGGATTGAGGCTTTGCCTGGCGGGCCGCTCCATCTATTGGTGGGGAGCCTCACCTGCTGGGAACAGGGCCCTGCGTCCCATGAATACATCTGTACAAAACAGTACATCCTTGAGGAGGACACCCTTCGGCTGGAAACAGGGTCCAGCATCCCAAATCTACCTTCACTCTTCCCACCTAGCCTGCAGCACCTTCGGGTACTGGGGGAGAAGCACCAGGGGGCACCAGTGGAATCTCCCTCCCTCCCCTAGCTCCTGCGCTCCACCTACTGTCCTCATGGCGTCCCGTGTCCCATATACCAAAATCAGAATATCTGAATGTCTGAGCAAAGTGAGGATTGTGGGATTGTGGAACCAAAATTAGAGCAAAGCGAGGATTGTGGGGCCTGCCAACGTTAAATACCCAGCAGCCCCGGGGGTCAAGCCAAAAAAGAACAAGGGAACTAAAAAGACTAAAGGATAAAGTCCATTAACTCTCCAGCACCCATTTGAACTTTGGACGAAGAAAAGAAAAGACTTCAGGCGGAGGAGGAGAAACGTACTGAAGAGAAGAAAGAGAGAGATCTACAAAAGGCTAGGCTGGGGCAGATTGTTCGGTGTAGTATGAAAGCGGTGTGCGAATTGGCGTTGGGGAGGAAAGTGGACCTGCCTGGTGATGAAGAGACGGAGGTTTGTAAACTACGCATTGCCAAGGAGTTGGATGAACTAAAAGCTAAATGTGGAAGTAGCACAGCCGTGTCCAATCTTGAGTCTCTACGTAAAGAGGAGGAGGCCTTGATAAAGATGCAAGATGTCAGGAACAATGAGCAAAGGTTGTGCAAGGAGATCAAGGAACTCAAGGCTAAGGTAAATGACGGTCATTCGGACAAGAACAGTGATGAGGTTGTCGCTCTCAAACTGCAAGTTCGTGAACTAAATGGCTTCCGAAGAGCCTTGGAGGAGAAGAACTGCGAGGTGGCGTCTCTTCGGAAGGAGAACACTCACCTCCGGAATGACTTTAAGGAATTAAAGGAGCAAGTTCTACTTCTGAAGAACCCAGGCAAACGGGGTGGTACTGGCGTGGTTGAGAAAAGTCCGCCAGAGGCACCATCACGCGGGAAGATGAGGCCCAATGCTATGTACACCCCAAAAGATATGGAGGGGCTCTACAAGGCATACAAGGAAGCGCTGGAAGGCAAGGAGTTAGCCCTTAGAGAAGCCGACGCGCTGAAGGATCGATTAACCAAAGCGGGAGCTGCTAAATACTGTATGTTTGTTCGGAGATCTGCTGTACGTAAGACCACCCCAAGAAATCTCAAGACAGCAATGAACGCTGTCGAGGTCGAATCTGACGGAGACAAGGAGGCTGTCGGAACTGACGAAGAGAGAAGGAAGGTTGGTGGACCTACGATCGTGGATGCCGCTCACGAGTTAGAACAGGCGATGTTGAGAAGCTTCAGGAGAAAAGGATGAAAGAACTGAGATCGGGGAAGAAGAGCGAGCTGGAGGAGATATGGGAAACTGAAGGAATTACCTATATCAAGCTGGACCAAGCAAAACTGGATGTTGCAGAGATGTGTGCTCGAAGGGATTATGATGAATGGTTGGAAAAGAAGGAGTCCCACGATGATGAAGATCAGATTCGTGATTGCGCCACCTCAACGGAGGAAATCAGCGAAGAATGAGGTGACGCCCTGAGTGCATCGCATCTTTGGAGTCCACCCTTGCTTTGTCGAGATTTTCGTCGGTCGCTTCCTAATGAGGGTATTTTGTTTGTGTTTCTACTCGTGGTCATCTTTTTTTTTTTT